ACAGAATGGAGCACAGGATTGAGCACAACCAGCCAGAACAGGGGTTAAAATCCCCATCCTGTCAATGCTCTAAAAGACATGGGGGCACTTCAGAAAATGTTAAGAAAGATGATGGAACCTGAGGGCAGAAGAGGAGAAAGGCCCACCTATAGAAAAGCCATTTCCAGCTTATATTGATCAGATACCTCTATCATCGGGCTTTAAGGTACCAAACTTCACTTTGTTCAACGGAGAGGGCACGTATTACAAGACCCCGTCTTCTTCAGTATATCTGTTTGAGGTAGAATCAGAAGAAGGCACAAACGGCTAGGAAGAAAGAGAAGTTTCCGTGACAGAAATGGCAAAATTAAAACATTCCATCAGCTGCAAGGCTCTGACAAAGCCATCACCATTCACAGGAGGGTTTATTCCAAACAAACCAACACATAACAAGGTCTATTCCTCCGATCTAATCAAGGTTGATGCTTTGTTTGATGAGATGTTGCTACAAAATGCAATAGAGACACCCCACAGGTTGCCCAAGCTAGAGGAACTCAAGGGCAGACAATATTGCAGATGGCACACCTCTTGGAACCATTCCACCAACAGTTGTGTTGTCTTCAAGGATGTCATACAAGAAGGAATAGCAGCAGGAAGGCTAAAATTGGCTGAGAAACCTCCATCAGTAACAACAGATCTTTTTCCCCAACCTTAGGTCAACACGGTCAACTTCAATTGGCCAGAACAGAAGAGTGGCAAGCTAACAGCAGAAGCTAGCCCCAACAGAGGCAGGAGAGTCACAAGGGAGGCTAATCAGAGGTCAAAGGTAACCATCTCGGCTGAGGTAGTTTTGTGCAGCAAGTGCAAGTGTGAAAGTGAGTTAAAAGTAACTCTGGATAGGCAAAATTAGCCTACACCTAGTGCTTTTGACTGGATTGGAACATCATACCAACAGGGCCTAATTTCGGCTCCACCTAAAGACAGAGTCAGACAGAAGGACTATCTAAGGCCTGCCCAACACAACAGAAGAATGACAAAGCAACCAAAGAAGGAAACACCAACTAAGATGCTCGAAAATACCAAGCCCTTGGCAACTATCACAGAAGGCAGGTGGTATTTTGTTGGAAAGAGCGGTAGACCAACTCTGGAACTAACTAGAACACAGAAGAGGAGAGTTCATAGGCAATACTGCACCTTCCTCAAGAACAGGGATGACACACAGGTACTTCCAGAGACCAGTTCTGCCATGAGAGGAAAAAATCCAGAATTAGCTCCTCAAGCAGAACAAACATCATGTCAACCAGAAGAGCTGACAAAGATAGAATCTCCAGGCAAACCTTCCATCCATCTTGCCTCATCCTCAGTCAATCAGCTTAAACCTTCACAATCACAAGGTCAATCCAGACCTATTCCAATAGAAGGACAAGAAGATTGGACTGAATAAAATGAAAATGAGCAGTTAGACTATGAACCATCTGTAGATGACCAGATTGGGCTCCTCAAAATATGAGAACAAGAAGACTGGACAGAAGAATATGGAGAAGAACAGATTGAGTGCGATGGAGAACTTGATGAAGAGACTGAGGCTTTCGGCACAGAGTTAGAAAGCCTATTACAAGGTGATCTAGGCATTAACATGATGTTTATCCTACCAGAAAAGCTCACAGCAGCATAAGGACAAGAAAGCACTTTGGAAGGAGACGTGCTCTCCTAGGAAAGTTTTGAGTGCAAATTGGCAGAAGTAGAGGAGGCGCCAATACAACAAATACCTACTGCCAAAGCAGGCAGAATTGCCATGAAATTGGCTACAAAACAACTTTGCTTTTCCAAACCTACCATGGAAATGGCCAATCACCTTAGACCTTTGTTCATAACAACAAACTTTGGGGGTGTTCCTATTCCCACAGTGATGGTAGATGGAGGTGTAGCCATTAATCTTCTGCCTCACAGGTTGGTGATCAAGATGGGCAGCACAGAGAAGGATCTAATTCCAACATGCTTGACGGTCACCAACTTTGCTGGGGCCATCACTAAGACTCATGGAATACTAGATGTGGATGTCATAGTAGGAACTAAGGAGTTGATTGCATTTTCTGTGGTAGACACCACCTCTACCACTTACAATGCGCTACTTGGTAGAGATTGGATCTAATAGAGTCTATGTGTTCCTTCCACTCTATATCAGCAATTAGCCCTTTGGCATGAAGTAGGTTTCATGGAAATAATAGAGGACGATCCACGACCATTTCTACCTTCTGCCATGTGTTTTGAGGTTAGGTATTATCATGATGATCTTGGTCCTTTCACATTCTTTGGAGTCAACTAGAACGGCCGCCCCTATGGTGTCACGGCCTAGAGACTCATTGAAAATGGTCTAGCCAGTTCTCTAGAGGATTGGAATAGACTTTTGTTCTGAACCTCCAAAACTCTGATGTTTAGTCCCAATCAACAAGAAAATGATCAAGCTACAACAATCCAATCTTTTACAAAATGATTATTGATATATTGGGAAGAAAGGAGGCTTTCTATGCAGAATCCAGCCATCAATATGGCAAAATTCACCCATGAGAGAATTGAAGAATAGGAAGAGAGTTTACAGGAGGAAGATCTATTACAATCAAACAGGAAGAGATTTTGCACCAACAACACTAGATGAATCTTTACCAAAAGTGGAAGATCCATTACAGGAGATAAACTTAGGAATAGAAGAGGATCCAAGACCCACTTTCATTAGTGCATTGTTGAAAGAACCACTCAAGAGTGAAATCATTGCACTTTCGAATGACTTTAGAGACTGTTTTGCTTGGCATTATCATGAGATGCCTAGATTGGATAGAAAATTGGTAGAATACAAGTTGCCAATCAAAGAAGGCTACCTTCCAATTAAATAGACCAGAAGAAGAAGAATGTCTATGGAGACAGAATTAAAAGTCAAAGAAGAAATAGAAAGACTGGTCAAGGCAGGATTTATCAGACCAGCCATTTATGTTGATTGGCTAGCCAATATTGTACCAGTTCTGAAAAGAAAAACAAGGGCAGTTAGGATATGTGTGGATTATAGAAATCTAAATGAAGCATCTCCCAAAGATGAATATCCTATGCCAATGGCAGATATGCTAGTGGATGGAGCTGTTCATAACCAAATGCTATCTTTTATGGATGGCAATGCAGGATATAATCAAATTATAGTGGTAGAAGAAGACATCCATAAGATAGCATTCATGTGCCAGGGCATATATAGGTACTTTTGAATACACTGTAATGCCTTTTGGCTTGAGAAATACAGGAGCTACTTATCAAAGAGCAATGAATTCTGTTTTCCATGACATGATAGGTGATTTTCTAGAAGTGTATATAGATGATATGGTGATTAAGTCCCCAGAAAAGGGAGATCATGTATCAAATCTAAAAAGGGCATTCATGAGAAACAGACAACACAAGTTGAAAATGAATCCCAAGAAATGTGTTTTTGGAGTTCAAGCAGGAAATTTCTTAAGTTTCTTGGTCCACCAAAGAGGCATAGAGATTGATAAAAACAAGGCAAAATCCATCATAGAAGCCCTACCACCTTGAAACAAGAAAGAATTGCAGAGTCTCCTAGGAAAGATCAACTTCCTAAGAAGATTCATATCCAATTCTGCAGGAAAAATCCAGCCTTTCTCCTCCTTGTTAAGGTCGAAGCAGGAACAAACATCTAAGTGGGAGAACAGCACTAGCAGGCTTTTGATGAAATCAAACACTACCTCTCAAATCCACTAGTTCTAAGCCCACCCAAGAGAGGCAGACCACTCAAATTGTATATTTTTGCATCATAAGTATCCATTGGGAGTCTGCTAGTTCAAGATAACAAGGAAGGGAAGGAATAGGTAGTCTATTATCTAAGCAGAACTCTGACAAAATTAGAAAGGAAATATTTTGCAATTGAAAGGCTTTATCTAGCCTTATACTTCACTGCTGTGAAACTCAGACACTACATGCTGCCATTCACCATCTACATCATTGCCAAGACAGACCTAATCGAATATATGTTAACAAGGCCAATGTTGAGAGGCAGAATTGGCAAATGGACTCTGGCTTTGATAGAATTTGCTTTCAGATATGTTCCTCAGAAAGCTATCAAAGGACAAGCTGTAATAGACTTCCTAGCAGATTATCCAGGGGAAAAGATTGAAAATATGGATTCCTTGGATATAGCAAATGCAGATCTATTGACTAGAGCTCATACTTGCCTTAACAATCCCATCTATTTAGTTCACCTCACACCTTGGAAACTGTATTTTGATGGATCAAAGACTAATGTAGCCTCTGGGGCAGAGATTGTTTTGGAGGATCCACTGGGAATCAGACACTGTTATTCTTTCCTGCTAGATTTCCAATGCACCAACAACTGGGCTGAATATGAAGCTTTAATCATTGGCCTTGAAATGCTGGTAGAATTAAAAATCCAGTCTCTGAAAATTTTGGGAGATTCTATGCTTGTGTTAAAACAGATCGCTGGAGAATACAAGTGTCTAAATCCTTCTCTAGCCATTTATCTGGTGGCAGCCAGAAACCTTCTGACAGAATTCAGGGAAGCTACTTGGGAACATACCCCAAGAGAAGAAAACTTTGCAGCTAATGAAATGGCTCAGATAGCAACAGGGGTACAGATGCCTGAAGACTGTGTGCAAAGGATCGTCAAGGTAGGAAAGAAAAGTCTACCATCTGTTCTGACAAGAGGAATGGAGATAGATGTCAATTCTGCCATAATAGTTGAAGATGACTGGAGAACTCCCATTATAAATTACTTGCAGTATCCAACCCTGCCTTCTGAAAAAAGAATCAGAATCATGGCTATAAACTACCTCATATGGGATGGAGATTTGGTCCGCAAAAGCAAGGATGAATTGCTCCTGAGATGCTTAGGGAGGAAAGAATACATGAAGGTCATGGGAGAAACCCATGAAGGAATTTGTGGAGCTCAACAATGTGAAAGGAAGATGTGCTGGTTAATTAGAAGGTATGGCTATTTCTGACCAACTATGATGAAAGACTGCATTGAATATTCTAAGGGATGTGAGGCTTGTCAGAGGCATGGTCCAATCCAGCAGGCTCCTTCAGTGCCCATGAATCCAGTGGTTAAGCCATGGCCATTCAGAGGATGGGCAATGGACCTTATTGGCAAAATCTATCCATCTAGTAGCAAACAACACTGTTTCATCATTGTAGCTACAGACTATTTAACCATATTGGTGGAAGCCAAACCTGTTAAATCCACTACATCTCAATGGATCATCACCTTCATAAAAGAGCAGATTATACAAAGGTTTGGTATTCCAGAATCAATCACAACTAACAAGGGATCCTCTTTCATATCTGGAGAAATGCTCGATATGGCAGAAGCATTCAAGTTCAAGCTACTTCAATCCACTCCTTATTATGCTCAAGCTAATGGACAAGCAGAATCAAGTAACAAGGTGATCATCAACATTATCAGGAAAATGCTTGAGAAAAATCCAAAGCAATGGCATGAGAAATTATTAGAAACTCTCTGGGCATATAGAACTTCAAAGAGAGAGGCAACTGGCATGACCCCATATGCTCTAACTATGGTCATGATGCAATTCTGCCTATGGAAATAGTAGTCCAATCTCTCATAATTGCTCAACAACACAACCTGGTTGGAGAAGACTACTCTCAAGTCATGCTGCTAGAACTAGAAGGTTTGGATACCAGCAGAATTGACACCCTCAACAAACTCTTAGCAGGAAAATAGGCTGTATCAAGGCCCTACAACCAAAGAGTTAAAAATAAGAGTTTTGAAGAAGGAGAAATAGTCTGGAAAGCAGTTCTGCCCCTTGGAACACACATAGCTAGTTATGGAAAATGGTCACCTACTTGGGAAGGTCCTTTCATAATCAAGCAAGTCCTTGGATTGGAGGCATACAAATTACAGGATCGAGATGAAGGCATTCATGCAGCACCAATCAATGGCAAATGGTTGAAAAACTTCTATCCAACTATGGGGGATTCACAGGCAGTGCGAACAAATCTTGGGATTGAAAAAGAAAAGGATAGAACTATTGTTTAAATTCTTGTTCAGAGTTGTAGTTTAAATTTACTTTAGTGTATTTTTGCCTTCTTTTGTTTTATTTAGGCAAAAGAAATCAAAAAATGCAACAGTTCCACAAAAATAAATAGCTTTTATTAAAGGTAGTCATTTTTTATGACTAAAGTTTTACTACATTTTTGCTTTAAATTTAAAGTCCTAGCTTTTTCTGAGTCTATTGTAATCCGGTCTTCTTGGTAGAAATCTCTTTCTGAAGGAGCATTCCTTGATGAACGGAGGCCTCTGCAATCTCCAGGGCAGGCCTAAAAGCTGACACCATATTCTGCACAAGGAAGGTGGCCTTGGTCTTGGTACCCAGTCCAGCCCCAAGCTTGCTCTGCTTGTCCCTCAAGGCAGCCAGCTACTTCTGAAGTTCTTCAATATGTTTTTCCAGCTTATCAGTAGTAGTCTTGGTTTTCTTGTAATCTGAAACCATCAAGTCCAATTCTGCCTTCTGTTTCTGGTAGTCAACCAAATTGGCTTCATGAGTAGCCTTGCTGAATTTAGAAGCCTAGAAAGAGGGCTTGAGATCTTCATAACGGTTGTGGAGATTGAGCACATCTCTTGCCAAACCAAGGCTAATCTCGAGGATGGGCCTAGGAGCCACATTCAAGTCCAAATCTTTCATTAGTTGATAAATGGCTTCTTTATTTTCATCCAAGTCTAGCTCAGTGGATTGCCAAATCTTCACTCTGTCCACTGCTTCATCCACTAACTTAGACTTAACCTTTCCCAGGGGAGAGCTGAGCTTCTTAAGCTTGTCCAGCTGGGCATCCAAATCCATAGCCTTAAACTCTACCAACTCCGGATCAGCAAAGGACGCTGTGGTGGATGAACCTGGGATAGATTGCATTGGCATCTACAAAGAAAACTCAAGTTAGTTTCAGGTAGAATCAGATAAAAGGAAAGGCTAAAGCACAAAAATACTCACGACCACAATGGGAGGCTTGAGAGGATGGTCACCACAGCTAGGATCCTAGCAGTTTTGTTCTCTGCTACTTGGGAAGACAGGAATAACAAATTAGAGAATGTCAAGACAAACAGAACTAAGAAGACAAGACAGAATTAAAACTGAAGTTACCTCATGACCAGGAGCAGCAGCAGAGTATTCTGCCTCTACTACAAGCTCTGGGGCAGCAGTGGAATGTTCTGCCTCCACATCGTCAAATAGGGCCAATTCTAAGCTTGTGGGTTCTGCCCTCTGAGTTTCTTCTTGTTGTTTGGCCAAGGCAATGATTTTTG